AGCAAACCTTTGGTCCAATTCAACAGTCCGATGGACCTGCTGCCAGGTGTGGTTAAGCGGTACAGGGAAGACTTCTCGAAGCTGCCGCCTGATCAGCAAACGAACTGTGTTTTTTTGCCCTTCGAGGTTAGTTCCAAGAGCAGGCGACAAATGCCATCCGCGACGAGAGGGAAGACAAAGCAGTTGCCGGGTGGGCCGTCGGGCGCGAATCTTCCCTCGCCCTCCGTAAGGGGAGGTCGTGATTTGGCTCAAGGTTCAAGCGAGGCAACAGAGTTTGATGACAGGATTCTGCACCAGCGCAATGTTGGCCGTGAGAATTCCCAGGGCAGTGCAATTGCCCTGGACGAGGACAACGACGAGGACGAGGAAGGAGGAAGTGCCGGGCCACATGACGACGGCGGTAATGAAGCTAATGTGGAAGTTGGGGATGACAACATGGAGGACCGGGGCGGGCTTGCTGACGAGGACGTCGACACGCAAATGCATGGTCATGAAATCTCCCCCGCCGGCGCTAAGGGAGCCGCTATTGGTCAGCCCTCGACGTCCCGTGGAATTTCGCTATCGCAAAGCAGGAGTAAGGGTGGGCACGACTCACATGCAATGCAAGGACCGAAAGCGAGGAAAAGAACAAGGGAGACTTCTCCGTCTGCTTCTACTCACAAGAGGCAAGCCAGGACTGACGCTGTTAATGAGGCTCGTGGAGCTTTGACAACGTCCCAGGAGGCGCGGCCTCCTCGGAAGAACAGCCAAGGGGGGCGATCTGCGGGTCAAGGCGGTGGCCGTGGGGGCGGTGGCCGTGGAGGGGCGCGGAAAGGCTCCCAGAGGATGAGACCACAAGAGCTGCAGAACTCGGGGGATGAGGGCGAGGGAGTGGATCCTCGCATGCCCGAAGATGCTGATGAGCCGGTTCAGCGCGTCGCGCCCATCGACACTACGCGTTGTTTCTTCCTCGAATACGACGACCAAGGCTTTGCTACGCAAGATGTCCATGCTCTTCACGTGGACATCATGAGAATCAAACGCATTCCCCGCGGAAGGATTCTTTTCAACCACCGCTCGTTGTCTGAAAACATTGTGCGAGGCATCTAGAATGCCATCGAAAGCTCCATCAGCACGGACCCGGGGGTGTGGGATAGGCCCGAGCTCGTGTTTGCGCCAGTTGACCGCAATGACAATGTCGGCGGCCAGGGAAGAAGGATCACGCCGACCGAATTCTTGGAAAGGGACCCGGCAAAGTTCGACTGGTACGCTGTCTATGATCAGCATACCGTTGAGGCCATGAAGAGATTGGTCAGAAAAGGCTCCCCGACAGTTAAAATTTATGGCCTCAACGCGTACTCTAAGGTGCGGGTCGTCTATTTCGGAGATGATCAAACACGAGGGTATTTCAATGTCTCCTGCTTCGACAACACACGCGAAAATCGCTCCATGATGTTGTCATTCAAGGACGCTGTCCGTGACATCAGGCAATGGTGGATAGACAACAATAGAATCGAGGCCCCGAAAGCCAAGGTCAGCGAGAAGGATGAGGTGGCCGTTGCACATCAGAAAACGTGGCAGAACTTCTTGAGGGCCTGCATATGGAAGGCATGCGACAAGGCATTTGTAAAGCAAGCTCTCGAGAATGAGTAGGAGTAATAAACTCCGGGGCTACATGAACCTCGCCACATCCAGTGTCGCAGTGTGGCCGCTGGGCGAGAGGTTCTTCGAGATGTTCAACGAAGGAAAGCTGCCAGTTGGCAATGGCAAAATCCCGCTTGACATGCCCGGGAGGATGGAAGGCCGCCTGCCAGGCCCGTACACCGACAAGACCAAGGGACAAAGAACATTGTACCATTGCATATATGCAATAGATGGTCCCAAAGGCTCCACCGTGTCGTGGAAGGATCTTTGTCCTTCCTACTTTTGGGGATTTGACATGTCGTGAGAGGGAAGTTGCGTTGCTCCTGCTCATGAAGGGGAAGGTGGTCGCAACGAACGTCAAGGTCTTGCCTCCAAGAGTGAACACAGAGTGCCCGCTCGACATCATGCGAAAGGAGCGGTACATGGTGCGTATGTTCAATTATGTTATGTTCCGCGCCGAGGGAAGGGCGAACGATGAATGGAACGACGCGTTCTTCATGTCGTACAAGGACCTGAAGAAAAGTATGGGCCAAACGGTCTGTGCGCTGCTGAATGGGAGAAGGAACGGGACAAGTTACATGTCAATAAGGTGAAGATGGTCCCTCGACGACTTGGAGGAGTGGAGGAGGTAAGGCAAGGCGCGGGCTTGGGGCCTACGGCGACAATCTATAAGGAGGCTCCGTTTCACCTTAAGGTCTTCATATACACTGCAATCGATAAGCTCGATTTGCTTCGCGCCGAGGTGAAACGGATCGCCTCCAGCGCGCGTCATATTGTGTGGGACAAGATTGGCAAACAAACGATGTTGCTACCTGTGTGCATGCCATCGAAGGAAGTGTTGGCAGCGCCAGACGACATCGTCGCTGCAGCGCAAAAAATGACATGCAGGGCCGCCATCGTGGACATCCTGTCCTCGAACTTTAGCACGGCGTGGACCTCTCACGAATTTGATGCCTTGCACACATTGATGACCAAGTGTTGTGGCCAGAATTGGGTCTTTTTCTTCTTTGCGCCGCAGAAGGTGCAAAGCGATGTTCTGCGTCACTTGTTCCGCTGGGAGGACGTCGAAGTCATCCCCGGGACCTGGAAACGGGTGGACAGGTCACCGAACGACATCACACGATACGACAATATGGCTACGACGAGTCGAGATATGATGGCTATTGTCCTGCATGCCGACGGAGGGGATCTGAAAAAAGTAAATGTCAAACCCCGACTCCACAACGACCTCACAACCGTGCACGTTGTGGAGGAGAAGTTCTGGAAATGTCAAGGTAAACACGGTGGGATAGAGGGCGATGATAGTGCGGTGTATTCCATCCGGGAGCGAGAGCCTGGAAAGTTACATTCGTTGTGCGGGTCATTTGTTGGAGAGGCGGAAGGTGTGCTTTTGTTGGGTAGAGCGCACGCAGGTCTTGTGTGTGAGTTATTACTGGCAGGTAATAATGTCCTTGCCTGCGACGAGTCGGCCAAGGACATTGCGTATCTGACAAAGTTCGTCGATATACTTGTGAAGGATGACAGATTCGCCTGTCATGTCGAGAAGCTACGTTGCAAACATCGTAGCAACAGGGACATGTTCCACAAGTTGGGACGCAAGAGACTGAAGGTGTGGGAATACCTGTTCCGCGATGCGCCGCAAGGACGGCTTGACGGGAATTACATCTACAGGAAAGCAAAGGTGACAGAGACCCTGAAACATTATCACGGTGCTCTTACTGGCGCCTTTGAGACTTTTGTCGCTCGATGCGAGATCCTGAAGTTCGATCTTCATAAAGACCAGCTGATGTCCAAGGACTATGCTGACCTCGCGAAATCGGGTGACGGCTTTAACCCCGTCAACAGCGAGGAAGAGTCTTCGGGGTCCGACCTCAAATTGGGCGATGGCAAGGGTGGTGAAAGTCCGGGCGGTGGCATGGTGCGGCCACACGATGAAGGGACCGTTTGCTCGCATGAAAGACCCATACAGGTGGCCGCCCCGAGTGTTGGCTCGATGGTGGCCCCCATGGAGGGCACCGGTTTGCCAAACATGGGAATATGTGGTCCCAATGATGAAGATAACATTGATATGCCAGACGAGGCGTCGAAGCTCGCACCAGGCGATCCAATTCCTCCCAGCTATTGTGCTGATCCGACCACAATTTATTTCTTGGGGGGCAAACACGCCCGCACTGGTGAGGACAAGTGGGGCGATGACATCGTGTGGCATGAGGGCATTTTTTAGCCCTGCATCCAAGATGGGGAGTGGAAGATGGTGGTCAAATACACATGCGGATGACAGACGTTTTGCCGGATGTCAAAGGACACTTGGCTGAAAACGATGGAACTCGCGATTATGTACCGCGTGCAAAAGGAGAATCCGGGGAAGAGCGAGGGCGCTGTCAAAGACAAGGCCAAAGAATTGTTTTCTGTATTGCGAGACAATCAGCACTTGGAGTACAGTTGGAAATTTTACGCCCTGCCAACGAGTCCCTCATGTGGTTCAATCGACTAGAAGGTCAATCAAACTATCGGAACCATGGAGGAGAGCAGCTCTCAGGATGTCGTGCCTTTGTCGGCATCGCCCCCCGTACCCACGCAGGCAGGGTAGAGGGAGGATGACGGGAGCAATGTGGTGAAGACTCAAGAGGTTCACATGACGTCTATGCCGCAAATCTCCGTCGACACGACAGAAGCGTCCAAACGCATGGATGTGTCAAATGCATTGTCGTCAGATGCAGGTGCCACGTACGGGAGTTTATTACTGACATCCGCCGCATTAGAAGGCGCATCCGAAATGTAGTCAGAGTCAGGTGTTGGCCTGAGCGTGCCGGACAGTCAGTTGCAACCGGAGTTATGCACAGGCAAAGGTGATGCACAAGGACATCTGACACCACAGGGAGGGGCCGCTGCGGATGGTGGGAGAGGATGTGGAGGAAATCCTTCATCCTCGCAATCTTGAGACCCTAACTGATGATTTCGATTATGGGGGTGAGGGTGGAAATGCCGTGGTCAATACGAGGGGGGTGTAAAATGATCGGTGAGGCGGGACGGGGGCAATGGAGAGGGAGAAACCAACGATATGATTACAATGTTATTCTTTTCTTTGTTAATTGAAATCGCACAATTGACTCGTTTGTTTTTAGTTTCAAATGGAACTAGTATTAGTCTTCGTAGGCACTACGACCACCTCATTTTCTTTTATGTATATATATATTTTTCCTCAATATTACGTTCGACCTAAGATGTTTAGGATACTTGCCATTTTCGAAGTGGATGTGTGTATGCGGATGTATTCGGACTTGAATCTCTCTCTCTCTCTCTCTCTCTCTCTATCTCTCTCTCTCTCTCTCTCTCTCTCTCTCTCTCTCTCTCTCTCTCTCTCTCCGACTTGGATGTGTGTATGCGGACGTATGCAATGAGGGTGGCCAAGGTGTGAGGAATAAATGATTGATTGTATACGTGAATGTGGTAAATGCAAGTAAAAGATTAGAGAAACATTGAAAACATGCATTGCTTGCATTTTCTCCCACAAAGCATTTGGTCATGCACTCACCATCCTTTCCGCATCCGCCCGTGTGAATGTCGTATTCCTCATGTTTGTGGTGTGCAGTGCAAATGACAACAATTGATACAAGATTGTGCAAAAGAGGATGGACAATGCATCTCACAACTTCGTCTTTATCAAAGAGGGGACGGCAGCCTTGACACGTGTCATCCGCGAATACGGGAAGAGGTATCCCATAGCCACCACACACGACGTATACATGAACGAGGTGTTGCAACTCACTCGCAACGATTTCCTTTTACTCGCWGTAGAACGTCAGTGGTTAAACGACAATGTCATAAACTTTTACCTCAATCTCATAGCATTGGACAACTGGTGTAGAATACAACACGTAGAATGCGACGCAGAGAATGAGATAGTTATTAGAGAAGGAAACGGTCGCATTCCTAGAGTATCGGTGCTGAGCTCATTTCTGTTCGTCAAACTTTTCGACAATGAAATGAGATATAGAGGTCGAGAGGTAGAGCGCTGGTGTCAGGACGTTATCATAAGTGACATGGACTTGATTATTGCTCCTTTCCATATCGAACACAAGAACCATTGGACCCTTGTCGTGGCTGACTTCAGGAGGAGGAAATTCGAATTTTACGACTCCCTCGACCCCGACATGGAGTTGGCGAGAAAGGTGACCGATGGGTTTGCAAAGTTTATATTCGAAAGATCGAAATCACAAGGCAAAGAGGTGGACACGAAACCATTCAATCACATATGGAATGTAGAGGGCATTCCGAAGCAACATGACACGAACGAGTGCGGGGTCTTTGTGCTAACATACGCATCACTGTTGGCACGGGGCCAACTTCCACCTTTCTTTTTCACTGCTGATGATATACCTGTGATACGTCGTCGAATGACTTTGGACACAGTGGCTCGTGAGTAGTGTGTATATGATAATCCGTAATATGATTTGGAGGAGGGGCGGATGCCACAAGATGGTTTGTGACAAAAACAATGTATATAAGGTGCCAAATATTACTCGATACGCTGTGCCACTTGACCCTTGCAATTTACCACATATCCCTTACACCTCACCCCTTACACCTTACCCCGTTCACCTCACACCTTGCCCCGTACACCTTACCCCTTACACCTTACCCCTCACCCCTCACCCCTTACACCTTACACCTTACCCCGTACCCCATACACCAAACATCTCTTTGTGATGGTTTTTGCACCTAAATCAGCTCAAAGATGACAATTTCAATTTCGTTCAAAAAATATAAAATGTCCGTTTTAACGAAATCGCTGTTAATGGGGGTGTCGGAGGAGTTGACTACTGCGTGCCAGATTCATTTCGATGTCAATGATTCGAATAAAAAATGGCACCCACTAGTCAACCCTCGTATGATGTCCGTATACTGACTGCCATCGTTGAACCACCGTATACTTCGAGCAGAGCGACACACATACAACATTAAACAAACCCTCACAGAGCTTGAAATCATCGTTTTGCCGTTCTACTTACAAACACATAGACAAAAGCACAACCATCATGTCGATGTCAGCGGCGCACGCGAGGACAACTCTTAAAGAGGTGATGCAATACGCGAAGGGGGGCATCCACTACGATGACGACGGTGAGCTCCGACTACTCACGAAGAGAGTGCCGAGTTACTTCGATGTCAGAGTGAACATTCGTGCAAGCATCGCTGCGAACGGAGAGGAGTCACTCAGAGCACGGATGCTATTGGCACAGTTCACTGAGGCGCATGATTTGCGTGTAGACAACACTGCTGATAGTAGTGCATACAGTTTGAGAAAAGTGGTTGGTTGGATGTGCACARAAGGGATGTCCGATGAAGGCGACGTGGATATGACAAAGAAGCAGAAGGGTGAAACATACATGCCAACCGATTTCAAGCAGATGTTGATGACACAGGCGAAAAAAAGGGGAATGCTTGTTGAAGGTTCTAAGGACGAGATGAAGAGCGATGCAACATAAATTTTAGTACTCTCGCGTTTGAAGGACATACCGCAAGCTCCCCCGCAAGACTTCCAAGAACTTCCAGTAATTATTGCAAACGGGGTGGAGTATGTTTTACTCGACCAACTGGTGGATTTCATGAAAAAGAAACCTGACGATCGCAATGTCATACATGAGGCATTGCATGATGTGACAGAACAAGCACTAGCGGGCAAGGACCTCATTACGTACAGGGTGCGGAGTGTGGATGATGATGTCGTATGTGGTACTCCATTGTGGGATGGAATATTCATAGCAGCTTTGCATCGCCTCAGCATTGCGACTTCTGAGGTGGACATAAATAGGTCAAGGGAAGAAGGATGGAAGTTGGTGGCCAGGGAAGCAGATGTTGCACTTCATGCAGCAGATGGACACGCTTAAGCGGGGGAAGAAATTGTGAGAACAACCTCCATCGTGCGTTCTCCAATAAACACAATGTCGAAGGAGGAGGTAGAAGAAGAAGATGTGTTCAATAACTGGACAATGACAGAACAACAACGGGAATGAGGGTTCGAAGACTCTTCTTTATCAATCGATTTCGAATATGAGATTGAAGAAACAAGAGTGATCAACAATGAAAAAGATGCGAGGGCGCCTAACAATGAGGTGGAAGTGAGTGGCAGCGATATGAGCAGCGACGAGGAGGGTGAGGAATATGATGCCTACTGGGATATGGAAGCAGAGGGAGACAAGCGTCAAAAGGGTGGGAACATGCGATTCTAAGGTTGGCACGTGTATTCTCTTATCCCCATTTACTGTTGCGTGTCGTGCTGAAGGAAGCAACACCCGAGGGCGCACTCAAGTATGCAGCATTGACGACTATCATGAGATCTCGAACAGAAAAAGATGGTCACGAATGGGGAAGTCATGGTTTGTCTTGGTCAACAGAGAGACTGTCCTCGCAACATCACTTACGTGGGGCCTGGACCTTAGTTGCCTCCTGCACGGGGCTGTAACCAGTGGTTCTGGTGCTATATTGCACCCGACACTATCAACAAGAGAGGAAATACTTCGTGCTCACACATGGCTTGACTGCGCACCAGACACCATGGTGGACAACGGTGATACAGATATTGGTAGTGGACAGCGTTGAATGCAACTGTTCGATGCACAGGCTATGCATATCATGATTAATTCTGCACTGTGCGGTCGCGGAGTGCGTGCAATATTTCAGGTGTTCGAGTGCTCGACAAGGGTGTTCTCTCTCTCTCTCTCTCTCTCTCTCTCTCTCTCTCTCTCTCTCTCTGTGCGAGGGTACAACAGAAAAACGTTTCTCTTTTATAAGTGTTTCAACAAATCTGCACTTATTCTCGTATAAATGATTTTATTTTGTAAATGTTTCAACAAATCCGCACTTTTATAAATGTTTTTCTTTTATAAATGCTCTCTCTCTCTCTCTCTCTCTCTCTCTCTCTC